ATGGTTCACCATGGCAAGTCTAATTATAGTAGTTCGGAGTAAATCCAAATCTACAAAGATGTTCTCTAACTTTATCAATGTCTTGAAATTTTTCATTACTGCACTTTTTACATGGACACCTTAACTTATTTTCATCCATGAACTCATATTTACTACTAGCAAAGTCCAAAAATAGTTCCCACCCGATACGAAACTCATCGGTCAATCCTCGACGTCCAGGTAAGTTCTTATTATACTTCCAACCCCTGTCTCTTTGCATTGTGTCTGTATAAAAATAAAAAAATTCTCGTAAAATATTAAAAATATCATATCTATTGTTTAATATTGTTAATTAAAGCCATAAATTTCTAAAAATTAAATTTTAGTTTTTTTACGAAACAATTACTTTCAAATTGAAACAAATGAAAAAAATTACCATGTCAAGAAGACTTACCAAGTATTTGACTGAAATCTTTGTAGTAGAAAGTGGTCAATTTGATGAGAATTGCAACGTTCACTTGGATTGTGTGTCCTTCAAATGGACACGTACCTAAAATAAAAACAAATTACTTAAGATGCATTTTTTAATTATTTTCTATTTTTTTCTCTTTCCTTTTCTTTTCCTTTTCTTTTTATTTTTTTTCCTTTCTTCTTGGTAGGTCGCTGGTGCGGCGACCGGCGAGCTCGAGCTCGCCATGGCCGTCGAGCTCGCCTGGGCAAGTTCTGGGCGAGCTCGAGCTCGCCATGGCATTGGCGAGGGCCGAGCTCGCCATGGCCGGCGAGCTCGGCCCTCGCCGTCAGCCCATGCGAGGCTAGCCCTCACCGGCACTGGCGAGGGCCGAGCTCGCCATGGCTGGCAAGCTCGAGCTCGCCCAGATCTGGGCGAGTTCTGGGCGAGCTCGAGCTCGCCGGCCATGGCGAGGCCCATGCGAGGCTAGCCCTCGCCGGCACTGGCGAGGGCCGAGCTCGCCATGGCCGGCGAGCTCGAGCTCTCGGCATGGCCGCCGGTCCACCTCGCCGACGCCCAGGTGGGCTAGCCTCGCCATGGCCGGCGAGCTCGAGTTCGCCCAGATCTCGAGCTCGCCAGCCATGGCGAGGCTAGCCCACCTGGGCGTCGGCGAGGTGGACCGGCGGCCATGGCCAGGCCGCTGGACCTCGCTCCATGGCCGGCGATGTCTCCGGCGACCGGCCAAACCAGTAAGGAAGGGAAAAAAAAAATTTCAATAACACCAAAAAATACAAATCCAGCGATGAATAGTTTTGCGACGAACCATTTTCGTCACCAATTAGTAACGAAATTAGCCACGACACTTACCGGCGGAAAAGCTTTACCGAGATTGATTTGCGCGTGCGTAGATAGGCAAATCGAGAGAAACGAAAGAGAGAGAGGGAGAGAGAACAGTGAAAGGGATATGAGGAATTAGTCGAGAGAGAGAAATTGGGGGTGGGGATGGATATCATAAAAATTATTTTCCGTGTCGCAAATTAGCGATAAATTTTTTTTCCGTCACAAATTAGCCACGAATAACTTTCCGTCGCAAAATTCGTCGGAACTTTGCCACGAATAACTTTCCTTCGCAAAATTCGTCGGAAATTAGCGACGACTTGTACGACGAAAACTAAATTCGTTGGAAATTAGCGACGAAAAATTTTTCGTCGCTAATTTCCGACGAAAAATTTTTCGTCGCTAATTTCCAACGAATTTAATTTTCGTCGCAAAAGTCGTCACTAATTTCCGACGAAAAATTTTTCATCGCAAGTTTTCATGGCAAAATCTTAGTTTTTTTGTAGTGATTAGATGATGAGTGTATCATCTGGAACTATTAGTCTGAGCTTTCATTTTATGACTTGTTAATGTTTCATATTCTTCGTGTGTATAAATATAAGTTGTGGTTAGTGAATCATAGCTGTAAATAGTAGTTATTAAAGGTGACGATTCACTGCAATTGTTCAATTAATAATACAGGTGGAACCTGAGTAGGCTCTGGAACCGACCCTCGAATCTGTGATAGAGTTGGTTCCAAGTTCCAAAAAATGAAGAACCTATTAACATGGGTAGAACCTATACGAAACATGAAACTGCTTACCCCTAGTATCAATTCACGCAATGACTTCTCATTTTAGTTTGAACCGTAATACCAGGAAAATTAGTCTTTTGTATTCTCTTTGATGAATGACAAGCTTGTTCAGTATTATTACGTTCATTTTTGTTTTGTTTAACTAAAAATGCAATAAAAAAAAGAACATGTTCCCTGGAACCTGTGACAGGGTAGGTTCCAAGTTCCGACAAGTAGGTTTTTAGGTTTAAAAAAATGGGGAACCTATACCCGATGGTATGTTTTAGGTTCCATGTGGAACTTGTAAGAAATCTGGAACCGTTCACCCCTATTCCCAATGGCCATCTCGATGACCGTACAACCGACACTCCACACATCCAATGGGAAACTCTGCTCCTCGTTACGAGCCACTTCCGGTTGCATAAACATCAGTGTACCTGAGAAGACCTCAGAGGAAATTATCATGTGCTCCAACAGCATGCCATTTTCTCCATACGCATTGTGGGTCTCTTGTGAGTCGACTCCAGAGAACTCTTTGAGATGGAGAGAGTATACGGTTGGATTTTCTTGTTTCGACGAATCTAGCGCAACCCAAATCTGCATCTTTAGGCCATCGCTACCCATCAACAAATTTTGGATGAGCCCGAGATTCGATCATACACGAGGAAGATTTTGCCAGGCTTGGAGTATCTTCAAGAGAATGGGCTGACTCTGTTCTTCACCTACGACCGGCAAGGCCATGGCGAGGTGACCTCACCCATGGCCGCGAAAGCGAGCTCCAAACGAGAGAGACCTCGAAGCTCGAGTGTCCGCGCCCGAGAGCTTAGAGATGGAGCTTGAGCTTCCATGGCGACCACGAGCTCGAAGCTTGAGCATCCATGGCTGCAAGCGATCGCCAGCCTCGATGGTCTCGCCCGGATCTAGGCGAGGGCCGTGGCCAGCAAGGGTTTCGCGGCCTTCGCCGTCGGCCGTCAAGGGCGTAGCGACCCTCGCCCAGTTTCCGGCGACCCACAGTAAAAAATCAAAGAAGGAAAGAGAAGAAAGAAAAAAGAAAAAAGAAAAGAAAGAATAAAAAATTTGATAAAATATTAAAATATTATTAAAATTGTTCACACCAGCGCCGGCAGTGCCACGTGGCACGCCCGGCGTCCATGTTAGTAATTTCCGGTCAAAATTAGCCTGATGGACTCAATTGGCAAGAAGTGACAAGGTTTAGGACTTAATTGGCAAAGTTTAAAGGTTTAGGATTGAATTGGCAAAAATACAATAGGTTTAGGACTTTTTGGACAATTTTCCTGACAAAAGAGTAGGGAATATCATTCACCTACCAAACAGTCCGACGATTTTTCATTGAATTCGATGGTACGTTCGTTTCATAGAAAATGAGTGATTTGGAAAACACTTTCCAAAAAATAATCGCTTATATCGTTTATAAAAATAAATAAATGGAAAAATTTTCTATCGCCCACAAAAATAGTTATACATGGATTGTTATCAATACTAATTTTTCTAAACGATATAAACCATCATTTTTCAAAAAATGTTCTTCAAATTACTCATTTTCTGCGAAACGAACGCGCACCCTGAGTATTTATACGTGCTCATAATCATCTTTCTTCATGTAGCCTATGATAGGAATAGGCGTTCTACTCAAATTATAATGTGATGGTATATTCCAACTTTAGTGTATGCGAGCTTGAATAGCATATTCATAGAGAAAATGTAACTGAGGAGAAATATTTTGGAGATGTTGCGGCAGAGAATCCTTGCCCTTTGACACGTAGACCATGGAGAAAATATTTTGTTGAAGTGAACGGTAGATGGTGTTAGTGAAATGGAAGTTTGGCGTTAGATAGTTGGTATACGTCTAAATATGATGAGACGATTGATGTCTAATCAACTCGTTATCCAAAAACATTATAGCTTTAAAGTGTCTTTAGTGTGGGTTTTAGACGTAGATTCCAGGAAATTGATCAAAAAAAAGTCGCAAACCTATTACACATATTCAAATTGCTGTATTTAGGTCTCCATATCTTTTAAGTAATTTTCGATAGTATTTATCTTCAAGATAGTGTGTTTGGATTGTGGATGCGTATGAATTTCCCCATAATTGCAGGACGGAGCTGGGAGCTGGTTCCTTTTAGCGATTTCCACATCGCACTGGACAAATCACTTGGGAAACTCGGAAGCCATCCTAAGCAAGTCCTAAAGTTCTAAGGCTACTGAGTATTAAGGGCAGTGAAAAGAGAGAAAATTTCTGCGTCATGTCATTCAGACGATCAGTTTGTTCTGAAGTTCCGATGCGCTGGTTCAACCGTACACAATAACTAATGTATCTTTTCCATTATTGTTGTTTTCTCTTTTGATAAGTTACGCATCTTTTCTGTTGAGGCCCCTTTTGTTGCCACTTATTTTCGGCGATTTCCCAACCTGAATTTGTTTTGCATCGGGCCTTCCAATATGAAACTTACCTCTTGCTCTGCCAAAACATGAGGTCCGTCAACCATGGCTGAATTTGGAGATCCAAACATCGGTCCGTTTGGTATTGGGAAGGTCCAGAAAATATGCAGATTTGCCAAGTACAATTCTCATATACATGTAAGAAGGAACATTGGAATATTCCCAAAAGTGTCATCGAGATCGCATGCGTTGAGAAAAGAGCAATAAGAACCATAAATTGTTCATTTGATTCTACCTAATTCAGATGGGATGCTAACCGCCTTTAGGGAATGTCACGCATGAAACATGATAAGCAAAATTCATAGAAGACTAGCGAATAGTAGTTACTTCTTGAGATAGGAAAAACACAGAAAGGAAAGATTGTGTTAGTTTCCAAAGAATTGACAATTGTTCAGATACCACAGAAAGAAAAGGCATCTTTCGTCTAGACGATGTCAAGAACCGCATTCCTTTCTCAAGATGAAGTCGACAGCGTCCTCAACAGTATCCACGACCTGCATAGGTAAACATAAAAGAGTTCAACTAGGATGAGCGATTTTCGAATTCATTTTTAACCTTGGAAATTTTTCAGAGAAGACAAACTCCCAACAAAAGTGGCTTTCCATTATGCATGGTTTTGAAAGACCGACATTTTGCTAGGCTGAAGGGGGAACAGGTTCGTTCAGTCATGTTTCACCCAACCAAAGTTAGAAACTACAGATCACCCAGAGCATAGCAAATCAAGGTATATAAGTATGGGAGGATTATCCACGCTGACACCTTAAATACTTAAGGCCATGTTTGGCTCATGGCCATGGAATCATGAAAAGGAATTCCAATCTAAGCAATCAAATTCCTGGGAGTGGGGTTCTTTCTTTCTTTATTGTTTGGTTTCAAATTACCAATGAAGAGAGAAATGTCCAATGTGAGTTGCAAAATGAGGTTAAAACATGTAAGAAATGGAATGCATCTCCAATCAACATATACAAAGCGGATAGCGAAAAACTAGGGATAGAAACAGAATGAAGAACCACATAAGATCCCTCAACAATTTCCCGATTATTGTTTTCTCTAAATGATTTTACAGTCCACAACAAACCCATTATATACAACTCGTCAAAATCAAGCGAGTCAAGCATTTCACACAAAATCCGCATCGATGAAGATGAAGCCATTCCCATGTACCTTCAAACTACTTCACAGCAGTTACCTCAAGCCATCGTGATATTCTTATCCTCATCTTGTTTTGAGTCAAAGACCCAATCACAATAACAAATGGAGTGACAGCAACTCAGCCGAGTTTGTAAATGGAACTTTGTGTCCCCACCCAAGCCTACGTGATGCTCATAGCTGACGTCTTCATAAAGAATCCAAACAAGTTTCACAATGGCGAGAGAGAGAAATGATTTCACCCAGTAGAGGAATGTGAGGGCTATGGAATCAAGAGGCAGGCGAAACTCACATGGGAAGGATTTGAAGATGATGAATGGAGAGAGAGAGAGAGAGAGAGAGAGAGAGAGAGAGTTTTGTAGGATTTGAAGATGATGAACCTCAGACAAATGAGTGGGTTGGGTTCACGACTGTTTTTCTTTTCTAGGAATCCCAGTACCACCTCTACTTTAGAATTCCAATTCTGCATTTTTAGAAGAATCCATTACCTAGGCACTTTGATTCTGCGATCATAAATCCATCCAAAGATGAGTTCCAATGAGATTCCATTTTCTGTTTTTTTTACTCCAAGGTGAACCAAACAAGGCCTAAGTGATTACACAATGTACTTACTTCTTAATGTTTTCCCGGTGGAATCAAAGATCTGCAGTCTCAACAAGACTTTCCGCTAGGATCACAGGTATAAAATCTCTAAACCAAAGAAGTGAACATGCTGGAATGCACACGATCCGCTCACTTAGAAACCTACCATCAACTCACCCCAACATACATACGAGGAGAGATAAGAGAGAGAGATAGAGAGATGTCTGAATTTTGTTAAAAGTACAAATACCTACCAAGTCCGCAGGGAACTCTGAATGATTATCTTTTCCCTTGAATACCCCAGTCCTTGTTAGTATAGAAAACCAAGGATCTCCTGCCTGAAGGAGTTGTTGGCAGTATTGGTGATTATGTTCGGAAATGAAATTACTGATATGATAAAATACGTTTCTCGTTATAAAATATACCTCTCGTGCGCCTCTAATGTCGATTTTTGGATTATCTCCTATCATGTACAGGGTTTTCAAATAACGAATTCCAGAGTTTGTAGTATTCTCCACATCTAGGTTGCTTAAATAAGATGGCATAAGATTCCTTAACACGGTCTCAGCATTTCCATAGACAAATGGATTTGGCTTCCCATATGATGTAAACGCCAGCGGAATGGGATGTATTCTGCAGAACAGAGAGAAGTAAACAATGTGCAACATAAGATTGAAGATCAATGCATGTTGCTATCCTGCATCGAGTCAAATTAGGCCTACACAAGGATCTATAGGCCATTCTTTAATGTTTTGTCGAGAATATTTAGATCAAATTCCGTGCAGAATTAAACATTAGAAGCTGAAACCTCACTATCTTACCTATTATAGATTGCTTCTAATGCAATCCTGAAAGCCCCCATACCCAGACGTTCAGCAGGAAAAGTAGCCTGCCTTTACACTTTGTCAGCTAGTCATCAGCCAGTCTTTAGTTCCACTAAGGCTTCAAAAACTCAAGATTGCAGCTGGCATCACAAACGGCATAGCTTACCTGGTATGCTAGGTCATCATTTGCAAAAAACAGGTGCGGTTGCTTTCCAGTCCCCCTTCCAGGAAGCCCTCCAGTTCTCAATAAGTCACAGAGCACCTAAACCCAAACTTAATTATCACAGAATTATTTAAATGTACACAGATAGATAGATGATAACACTCCATTTTATCACTTCTTTCAAACTATATTTCAGCGCCCACTAGACTTCTAAAAAGATGATGACTAAAGTTGCAGAGTAGTTACTGAACAAACAAACAAAGCCTAGTGTCTTTTGATAATCAGTTCAAAGATTTAGAACTCGCGTGACTAAAAAGCCCAGTATGAACTCAACAGCGAATTAGATAATCTAAGAAAGGACAAGATCCATTAGAGTGGTCACAACCTGAATGTCTCTGCTCCAGTCAACAGAATCACTGACCATGAATGCTGCCTTAACTCTCTGTGTTTGCACGGCAATGTTTCTCTTCGCCATCTCCTTAGAAGTGCTATTCTGGTCAACGTCTGGCTTAGTTGTCCATTTCTTGTACGGTGCCAGTGGATCAATGGCATCAAAGTAGCTAGTGTACTCATCAATTGACAGAACATTTCTGTATAGAAAAGACATAAGCAGAAAAGGGTCAACCGGAGAAAAGAAATAAGAGAATCAAGCTATTGGAGTTCTCGTTTCAGGTGAAACAGTATTGAACACAGACATCTAAGATGATATATGGAGAAGACTTGTCTGTGATTACAGGAGACCCTGAGAACTTGAGTGATTTTACTAACTTTGCTTGTGCCTATATATCTCCTAGACATTAAAGTTATATCCTTCATTATCAATTTTGTTAAATACATATCTTGATCCTTATTGCCTCTCTCTCTTCCCCCCCTCCCCCCACACCACACAGCTGCATGGACAAGCAAGTAATTGAGACATTGCTGGGTACATTTGCGAACCTAGAGAAGTGGTCAAAATATTTACTTGTATCCATATTCAGACATCACAGCAGCAGGTTCTCCTTTGCCTACAGCAACGACAAGTTCGTTCTCAAATCTGTGGAAAATCCTGAATTAGGAAACAGATAAATAAAATAGAGAAGTGTATTCGTGAGTAAAATAAAGGAGCCTACGCAGAATTCTTTTAGAATAGTTAGTACATGCATTGGCACTCTTCTGCGTCTTTTCTATTCGTATAACATAATATAGGGAGTGCATTTCCCTAGTTTCCAAGAACAAAGCGCATGAGATGAAGAAATGAGACATGTTCTTTGATATCCACATACACACACTAGATATGTACATTCAATAAAGTCTATTTTCACAGGTTTGAACCTACTAATTTGTGTACCCGTAAATAATTCTTGTACAGGAGAATTCTCATCGAACTAACAATACACAAGCACAACATTTTATTTTGCGATCGTAGATTTTCATAATCATGATTGAGATTGAGATACGAGAAAAAAGCAAATGCTATCGAAAAAGCTCAGTTCTGATTTACATTAGCATGCTGCATATCTCGTTGGAAGTTGGTCATGGAGATAATCCAACAAATCCATACCTATTTACCAGTTGTTTAAAAGGTGTGTGGCCCTGTATGACCTGCAAAGAATCTTGGTCAAAAGATGAGAGGCAAACAAAACAAAGCAATTCCGGAACTGACAACAAGCAGAACTGTGAGGGCAAGCAGATTTTGTAAAACAAGAGACGAACTACCTGCAAAGTATCTTGGTCAAAAGATGAGAGGCAAACAAAACAAAGCAATTCCGGAACTGACAACAAGCAGAACTGTGAGGGCAAGCAGATTTTGTAAAACAAGAGACGAACTACCTGCGAAGGTAAAATGTTGACTCCTAATAGTTGACCTAAGTCCTGGGCTCTTTTGGATTCAGAAAATCCACCCCCTGCATCAGCCATTGCTATTAACCGCGTGCAGTAAAAGGTAAACATCGATTCTTTAAAAATTAACGGGCGAATTTTCTTATTTCGAGGCAGTAGCATATTGAACAATGAAAGGTAAGGGCATCTCAAAAGGCGTCACAGATCAAAGTGCTTGAATGACTTAAACATAAGATAGCAGCAATCTCGAAATCATCAAGAAGATTACTATTAGATCTTAAAAGTACTGATACTTGCTGATAAATGAATAATCAACCACAATAAGAGTATGATGTCCAGCATGCAACTTGAAAACTTTAGTTAGTTTGACCATTATATCACGGCACGCTCACCGCTGATGATTCTATAGAACGGTCACATTTGCTAACACGTGTCAAAAGTGAGGAATGTAATAGTAAAAGTTACTAACACATTAGAGCAATTACTAGGACCTGTTGAAGTATACCGATCACGAACACTCACCATTTGTCAAGAACACGAAAGGTATCTTCAGCTTCCCTGAAAAGATGTAGAACATAAAGTGAGCGATAGCTGGTTATCAAACAGCAGATACGTATCTCCATATCCACCGCCCTCATAGTCCATCAGAAGATTCGGTAGCAAATCAGTGCAAAAAACACGCATTCGCAACGTAAACATCGGAAAACACGCGAAACAACAAGATCGCTAGCATGACATAAGGCCCCGCAGGTCTCGTCAGCAAGCGACAGCGAAAGCTTTACCAGAATCATCGTACAATCTCTTGAGCGCGCGGGGAGAACCGCCGATGGGAGCATGGCCGAGGAGAACTACGCCGTCGATGTCGAAGGCAATGCCGAACGAAGGCCTGCGATGCAAACCACGATCGTTCGATTCGATCAAGGACGAGAAGAGACGGAAAAGTATCGGAAATCACAAGCGTCGAAGCGGGACCGAACACAACACACCGGTCCGATTGCGAGCTCAGTCGCGAGAATGAGCGCGAGACGAGCAGGGACGGTTGCTCTCGGCGGCGGCGGCAGCTCCGCGTGGCGATTGCGAAAAGCTGGCGCCTCATCCTCCGTTCACGGCGAAAATCCGCTTCGGGAGATTTGAAAGAGCTCGAACGAACCACTGGGAAATGAAGCTCCGAGAAGGACGGAGCGAGCGAGCTTCGACTGTCCCAGACTCGATCAACAAGAGAGAGAGAAGAGAGAGAGAGAATGGCCCTTTCCTTCCGATGGATCGCCCTTTTTCCTTCCGATAGATCGCCCTTTCCTTCAGTCAGATTTTAGGCTCTCTGCCCGTTTGGTTCGGCTTTTAAATGCAACTTGGGGAATGTAAATACCTTTATGTGAAAGTCATTTGGAAAAATGCAAGTGGTATTTGGTAAAAATAATTTTGTGAAGCTACTTTGGCCTAAGTAGTGTTTGGTAAATTTTTTTTTGCAAAGGGCTTTGGTAATTTTTATTCTTAATATTCCGATTTTGCCCCTATTACTATTCATCTTCTTCACCGGCGAAGGTGACCGGAGAGGGGCCGGCGAGGGCGGATCTGGCCGGCGAAGGCCCGGCGAGGTCGCTTGACCTAGGCGACGGCCGCTGGGGTCGGGCGACCGCCCAGCGCCATCGCACTGGGTCGGCGGTCGCCCGGAGTCGCGCGACCAGCGACGGCCCGCCCCGAGTCGCGCGACTCCGGGCGACCGCCGCCCGAGTCGCGCGACTCCGAGGCGACCGGCTCTGGTTCGCGCGACCCGGGCGACCATCGCACGGGTCGCGCGACTCCCAGCGGCCGCCCGACCCGGGCGGCAGCGCTGGGCGGTCGCCCGACCCCAGGCGACCTCGCCGGCCCGTCGCCGACCAGATCCGCCCTCGCCGGCCCTTCGTCGGCCACCCTCGTCGGCCACCCTCACGATGAAGAAGATGAACAGTAACAGGGCAAAATCGGAAAATTGAAATTTGAGTGAAGGCAATTTGGGAAGGAAAAATAGGCTTCAGCATTCAAATAGCATTTCAAATGCTGGCTTTCGGCTTTCCGGACTCGGAAAACCGAACCAAACGGTTCAGCATTTTGGGAAGGGCCTTTCAAGGCCGAAAGCCCCTTCCCAAAGCTGAACCAAACGGGGCCTCTTTCCATCGTGAAAAGTAAATGATTTTAAAAACATTTTCTTAAAAATAATAACTTATATCGTTTGAAATAATTAATCGATAAAAATCTTTTTATGAAATATTTTCTTGGATGATGAAAATATTTTTGTTTATTCATTTTTTTGTAGGCGATGCAAGCGATCATTTTTAGAAAAGATATTTTCCAAATCATTCATTTTTCGCAAAATAAACGGAGTCTTAGTGAATGCTTTTGGGCTTTTATTTTCTTCTTTTGTAATTTTCTCTATCTTTTCTATTTCCTCATAGCGTAATTCGAATGAGTTGCGCAAATACTTCTATAATTTTAGGCCTCCGACTAATTTAAGGTCGCGCTTTGCCAAAAACCTTGCAAAATCATTAAATTCCGAAAATTGCTCCTTTCATGACTATACTTGATGCGAACAACCAACACATCGAGCACCTCCTACGCCGCTGCTCTAACATGCGTTTGGCGGTTCACAGTATGAGGGGATAAGATTTTGGCGGAAGGGTCAAGAAAAACAATTGGGTGTGAAAATGAGAAATTATTACATGCTTTACGAATATCATCTCGATTATTAATCATGTAGACCTCGCTATGGGCCCACTCGATCAATCATTGAATTGGGCTCGACACGTGATTTATAGACCATGTGATACCTTTTACGGACTTGACCTGGGCCTAACTCGGCTAAGATGCAAGAGACCCACATCTAATTCATCTCTCTTTTGAGTGCTCTAAAATGTCGGAGAAATGTTGTAAGATCCTCCTAAAACTTAAAAGAAACTGCCTGTCTTAGATGGACACATCAAAACTGCTAATCTCAGTCCTCGCGTTGATCTTAATCTTATCTATATCTCTCTTATGGTCACGTGACTCGTGTCCACACGACATAAAGAACAGCCTGTTGCCAACTAAACAGAGCGATGGAATCAAGCACTTGAAGCAGACGAAGTCCTTGACCGGTACCGGTAGTGAAGGAATTTTGCTTAATGGGAAAGCAATTAATACGGGATATTATCCAAAAAATCATAAATTTATTAAACTTTTGTCAGTTCAGTACTGAAGCTTTCAATTTTGCCGATTGAGTTATAAACATTTTCACGTTTTATCAATTGAGTCCATCCGATTAATTTTAACGTGTGGACATCAATAATACCATGTAGGACAGTGGGCACTAACGCGGAAAATTTTTAATAATATTCATAATATTTTTCGAATTTTTTTATTATTTTTTTCTTTTTTCTTTTCTTTTTTTTTTCCTTTTTTTCCTATCAAGTTTGCAGATTTGCCAAATACGATTCTCATATACATGTAAGAAGGAACGTTGGAATACCTCCAAAAGTATGTCATTGAGATCGCATGCGTTGAGAAAAGAGCAAGAAGAACCATAAATTGTTCATTTGATTCTACCTAATTCAAGTGGGCTGCTGACCGCTTTCAGGGAGCGTCATACATGAAATATTATAAGCAAAATTCATAGAAGACTAGCGAAAACTGGTTACTTTTTTAGATAGGGAAAATACAAAATGGAAAGATCGTGTCAGCTAGGGGTGAGCGCGGTTCCAGGGTAGAACCGGAAATCGGAGAGCCGGACCCGGTGGATCCGATTCGGTTCCAGGTTCCATGGACAGAGGGTCCGGTTCCCGGTTCCCCATTTTTAGGAACCGGCTGTTCCGGTTCCGATTCCCAGTTCCTATAGGAACCGGAACCGGATCGGAACTGGGAACCGGAACCTAGAACCGGAAGAAACCCAGTAATTCCCAAATGCTCCCTGCTCCTCTTGAATCACACCTTTGAAATTCCAAAGCATTCGTTTCGCCACGCACGCACACCCCCCAAACCCATCCACAGACTCACTCACTCTCACACACACGCCACTCTCTCTCTACACTCTCGCAATCGAACGAATCTCCGGCGAGAAGCGACGATTTCCTCACCGTTCGCCGGCCCTCCGTCTCGCGGCTACGGACCCCTGCATTTCCCGACGGATTCCTCCGGCAATCGCCCCGGATCAGCCCGAGTTGCACTTTCGGCGTTGTTCTCTCTGATTTCTGCGCGCTGTTCGATTTTCCCTTTCGCGATGTCGAGCACCGAGCTCGATTTCAACTCGGATGCTAGTCGTCGTTCGTTTTCGGTTCGGTTCGGTCAGTCGATTCTAGTCTTTTGCCTCGTGTTTGGCGGCGAAACGGGTCGACCGGTGCGTGTCTGGAAGCGCTAGTCAGTGCTTCGAGCTTCGCGCGTGTGGAGCATTTCGAGTAGCTTCTGGGGAGAGCAAGCTGAGTTGGGGGTAATCATGGTGGTCCTTGGTGCCATGGTGCTGAATTGGGGCGAAATCCAGCTGCTGTGATCGAGATGCTCTTATTGGGTGTTTGGTGTCGTGGCTCAGTTCCTTGTCTTGGGATCCATAGGGGTGCTGAGTTTGGGTCGGTTGACGTGGTAGTTTTCGTTTGTCTCGGAATGATTTTCTTTGGGTCTAGATCTGAGTCCGAGTTCGGAAAATGTTAAATTCCTTCTCCTTACCACGTGCATACCACATGCTCTACCAAATGTTTGAACCAGACTCACACAAGCTTGTCTCTGTGCCATATGTACGAATTGACCACCATATGTTTGTAATAATGTCTGAATGAAGCTATGTTTATTTTTAAGGAAAAACTTGTGAACCAAAACACTTGGTTGCCCATTTCATTACTTGAATCGCAACATTAGTCTTCGATTCATCTATATCGCATTCATTCTCCCGCGATTTGAGTCTATGTCTGTGTGCCTCCTCATTTCATTACTGGCCGATTATGGAGAACATAGGGATCCGGTTTGCTGGACTGTCAGGATGCACATTGGTTTGTGATTTCTGAAGATGGTGTTGGGTTACATAATTTTCTGAAGTGTGTTGTTCATGATAAATGCTTTCGTTGTTCTGCTCTTCAGAATAAAAGCACTTGTAGTCAAGCTTATAACTTGAGAAGTCCTTTCATTCCGTGTGGTAAAATGTGTACGCATTTGTCTTTTCTTGGTTATATACAGCTGTAGGTTGGTCAAAAGTAACCCATTTTTGAATTTTTTCTATGGTCCGTAGTTGTGCAATGACTTATTGTTTCTCAAGAATTCTCAAGAATTGCAACATGCCACTTCTTTTCCATGTTTTAATGCTTGTTAGTTCATATGATATCAATTAGAAAACTTTTTTGTTAGCTAACCACATTCATTATCTTCAAGCCAGTATGCTTCAAACTTAATTTCTCTCTTTCTTTTTGCAGGTTCCGCTGAGAGAGTTAACAAGATAGGACTACGGTCGGAGTCTTTAGCAGGTAATTTTGTTTGTTTTGTATTCTCTCTTATTCGGTATTATTGCATTCATTTTTCGTTTTGTTTAACTAAAAATGAAATAAAAAAAAGGAACCTGTTGGACCCTGGAACCGACCCTGGAACCTGTGACAGGGTAGGTTCCAGGTTCCACGTTCTGACGGGTAGGTTCCAGGTTCCTCATTTTGAGGAACCTGTACCCGAAGGTAGGTTCCAAGTTCCGGGCGGAACCTACCCGGAACCTGGAACCGCTCACCCCTAGTGTCAGCTTCCAAAAAATTGACTATTGTGCTGATACCACAGAAAGAAAAAGGCATCTTTCGTCTAAATAGGCATATGTCAAGAACCGCATTCCTTTCTCAAGATGAAGTTGACGGCGTCCTCAACAGTATCCACGACCTGCATAGGTAAACATAAAAGAGTTCGACTAGGATGAGCTGTTTTCGAATTCATTTTTGACCTTGGAAATTTTAGAGAGGTCAAATTCCCAACAAAAGTGGCTCTCGATTATGCATAGTTTTGAAATACCAACATTTTGCTAGGCTGAAGAGGGAAAGGGTTCGTTCAGTCATGTTTCATCCAACCAAAGTTAGAATTCATCGATCACCCAGAGCAAAGCAAATCAAGGTATGTGAATATGGGAGGATTATCCACGCCGACACCTCAAACACTTAAAGGCCATGTTTGGCTCATGGTCACGAAATCATGAAAAGGAATCCCAATCTCAGCAATCAAATTCCTAGGAGTGGGGTTCTTTCTTTCTTCATTGTTTGGTTTCAAATCACCAATGAAGAGAGAAATCTCCAACGTGAGTTGCAAAATGAGTTTAAAACATGTAAGAAATGGAATGCTTCTCCAATCAACGTACACAAAGTGGACAACGAAAATCTAGGGATAAATAACAAAATGAAGAACCACATAAGATCCCTCCATAATTTTCCGATTATTGTCCTCCAAATGATTTTACAGTTCACAACAAACCCATTGTAGACAATAATTATAGAGCGCTTCTGTGCGTACCGTGTTTAGAGATCGTCGACAAACGACAAATCAACATAATAAGGGGAGTTGAGTAGATCGGTATCGATGCAACGTTTGACTCGAAATCGATGCTTTGATATTTTTTTTTTGGTAAGTATCGATGCTTTGATATTGAATCATGAATATGAACAAAATTTGGTTTTCGAATCCCTATGCTCGAGCTCAACTCGATATAGTATGTCGGGCTCGAAATTGAACTCGATTCTACTCATTTATAACTTGTTACGTAGGATGTTTCTTTCTTTTTTTCCTAATCATATATTGTACCTTCTACAAAGCCTGGTCATGCCATTCGATTGCTTTATCTTTCGACTGTATCAAGCCTAGTGTTTGATTGGTGGTTTGGTTATCTAGTTTAGCATTGTCTAAGCCCCATAATATTTTGATAGTAGTTTATAGATGCCAGACCCATAATATCCTATATGTTGTAAAATGGGAGAAGAACACTAGAAGTGTCAAAACTTGTGTACGGCGCTCACTTTAGTGCCAAAAGTTTGTTTCGGATCACTTAAGTGCCACTTTTTTGAAAAAACGTTCACTTAAGTGCCAACTCTGATTTGGATTGCTGGAAATCTGACGTGGCCATATTTTATTAATTTCTCAGTCCTACGTGACACGTCGGCGCTGACGAGGACAATATTTAATAATATTTTAAATTTTTTTCTGATTTTTCCTTTTTTATTTTTTTATTTTATTTCATCTTCTTCGTTTGGCCGGTGACCGGACACCGGCCACCGGCCATGGCCGGCCGCTGTGGCCTCGCCCGGACGAGGTCGCCGTTGCCCGCCACGGGCGATGCGAGACCACCGTGGCACGGGCGACCGCCGAGGCTCGGGCGAGGCCGGCCCGCCGGATCCGGCGAGGCCGCCTCGCCCAGTCACGGCGGCCTCGCCGGCGGTCGCCGGGGAAGGCGACCCCGGCGAGGGCGCGTGGCCTAGGCGAGGGCCGGCCCCGCCAGATCTCGGCAAGGGCCGGCCTCGCCTCCCGGGCAAGGGCGTGCCCAAGTGAGGCGAGGCCGGCCCTCGCCGGCCCACAGCGGCCTCGCCGGCGGTCGTCGGGCGAAGGCGACCCGGCGAGGCCGCCGTGGCCGGGCGAGGGCCGGCCCGCCGGATCGGCAAGGGCCGGCCTTGCCTTGCCGGGCAAGGGCGTGCCCAAGCGAGGCGAGGCCGACCCTCGCCCGGGCCACGGCGGCCTCGCCGGCGGTCGCCCGAGGCCATGGCGACCGCCCGGCGAGGCCGCCGTGGCTCGGGCGAGGGCCGGTCCCGCCGGATCCGGCGAGGCCGGCCTCCCTCGCCCGGGCAAGGGCGTGCCCGAGCGAGGCGAGGTCCGCCTCGCTGATCCGGCGGGCCGGCCCTCGCCCGAGCCACGGCGGCCTCGCCGGCGGTTGCCCAGCCACGGCGACCCGGCGACCGCCGCGAGGCCGCCGTGGCCTAGGCGAGGGCCGGCCTCCCTCGCTCGGGAACGCCTTGCCCAGGCGAGGCGAGGCCAGCCCTCACCCAGGCCACGGCGGCCTCGTCGGCGGTCGCCCGGGGGAAGGCGACCCCCGGCGAGGCCAGGCGGCCGACCATGGCCGGTGGCCAGTGTCCGGTCACTGGCCAAATGAAGAAGAAGAAGAAAAAAAAAGAAAAGAAGGAAAAAATAAAAAAATAAAAAAAACAATTAAAAATTCGAAATTTACACGTGAAAATGCCACGTAGGACTGAGAAATTCAAAATATACATGTGGAAATGCCACGTAGATTAAAATTTTAATTAAAAAAGTCACGTATTAATTTGGCTAGAATTTCTCGCCGTTGGCACTTAAGTGATCGTTTTTCTCCGATTTTGGCACTTAAGTGATCCGAAACAAACTTTTGGCACTAAAGTGAGCGCCGTACATAAGTTTTGGCACTTCTAGTGTTCTTCTCCCGTTGTAAAATTAATGCACGAAAACGCTAACTAGATCTTGCAATTCAAGTCAATGCAAGAAAATCAAAAAAATAAACGATGAACAATAAATGGCACTAGAGATTTACGTGATTCAGTCCGAGTGTCGATACCTACATCTACGAAAAAAGCCAGTAATGAATAATCCACTAAAATTGGATAATCGGAGTTACAATCGCTCACGCATTCGAGTGTTTTCCACACCTAAATTATACCAAACTCCAAAATATTTACAAATAAAGAACTTGCTTGGACGTAAAACTCACAACACAAATCACGTGCGCACGGCCAAAGAAACGGAGTGTTCTCTGTTCGTTCGTCTACATCAAGAGCTCGTGGTGTGGCTGCGTTCATGGGAGTCCACACACTTGGACTCCGCACACTGGCGGCTTCAACGAGGAGAAGTGAATATTACAGAAACTCTTGTGGGCCTTTATTTTGTCTTTTATTTATAGTGCCTATCTTTCTTCTTACCATTTTGTTGCTCTATTATTAGTCCAACCTGCCGTAACAATGGTGAGTCCAACTGTTGAATTTCATTGTGCGGTCAAACTTGGATATTTATCCTATTAAATCGGATTTCGTAAACGGTTCAAACTCGAGACATAATTTAACATCCTAGATCAAGTAAGGTTTGAGTCAAAGCAAGGTTCATTTGTTTTTTTTTATATATTTTTGGTCTGAAAATTAGGTTTGTTGGCTCAATTATAGATATCATCCATTGAGAGAAAAGTGTCAAAAAAGTCCTAAACCTTTTGCATTTGTGCCAATTTAGTCCTAAAACTTTTTGTGGTGTCAATTCTGTCCTAAACCTTTTGCATTTGTGCCAATTTAGTCCTAAACCTTTTTTTGATGCCAATTCAGTCCTAAACCTTTTGCATTGGTACCAATTCAGTCCTTCCGGCTAATAGCTATTAACGTGTCGAATGACTGAATTGACACCAATACAAAAGGTTTAGGACGAATTGACACCAAAAAAAAAGTTTAGGACTAAATTGGCACCAATGCAAAAGGTTTAAGACTGAATTAGCACCAATGCAAAAGGTTTAGAACTGAATTGGCATCAAAAAAAGGTTTAGGACTCAATTGATATCAATGCAAATAATTTAGGACTGAATTAGCACTAAAAAAAGGTTTATTACTAAATTAGCACTAATGTAGAAGATTTATGACTTTTTTGACACTTTTTCCCATCCATTGACCATAAAGACTTTGAGGAGTTTGTGTCACAACCACACTTCCATTCACTCACTCAAGGGTCACTTTCTGGAGTTGCCCGTCCCTAGCACTTCATTTGGGATAGGGATTGATAATAATTCCATCTGTACAAATTAGAGTATGAGGGGCCCGCTCAAAAGAGCAAATAAAATAATCCATTTTATTTGCGAGTATCGCTACGTGGTTTAGTTCCGATGACTCTCTTAGAAATATGAGGTAATAATGGAGTGAATCTGTCAAACGGTTCTCGACGAGAGCAGGAATGCTCTTTTATCATGTATGTGGATCATTCGGTCGATTTACGATGATTTGTATCGAAATTACGGAAAAAAAAAACACAAAGAGCTATAATTTTCGTTATGATGCGAGAATCTATTTCTCAATGACCATAGAACTGCTCATGTATTATGAGAAGAAATTCGATAAATCCTTCCCATCGAATCTCCAACGTTGTACAGTAGAAGTAGACGATTTGTCACCGTGTGTCGTTCAAGTTTCACACACAAACATAAATAGAAGCTTCCAAATTCACATGCCACACAACAAGATGAGGAAAAACTTGGGTAATTTCTGTCTCTATCTGTTGTCTGGCTACCCTTCACTACGGTTACTCTGCCACGCACACTGAGGGCAAGCATATGATGAAGAATATCGTCCTCCTTTGTAATGGCATCTCGGACAATGAGCTGGTAAGCCCATCGGGATGAAGATTGGCGGATGCGCGGGAGGAGGAGGCGGCTTCGGTTGCTTACCGTCATCTTTCTTCTCTTCTTTTTTGGGAGCTGGAGCTGGAGCTGGCTTTGCCACTTTTTTCCAGATTTTCTTCTGTCGCCTCCAGATGTAGTAGAAAAGGAAACCACAGAGTATGACGACAACAATGACTATGCCAACAATAACCCACGTCGGAGTTTTATCGTCGTCAGACGATACAGAATTCGGATCGATCCATGCTGACGGAGGAGAAAAGTACCGGAAATCCGGATGAGTTTGTGGATAGTTACTGTTCTCCATCAAAAAAACTCTGTGGAGGTAGTTCAATGCAAGCGCCGAGCGGTGAGTTTATAGACATATTCCGAAGCATCAATTCATAACGCAATAACTTTTTTATCACAATGAAATGAGAAGATGATATCATCCAAATGCGAGATCGAGATAATTCGACACGGAATCTAGTGAAATAAAATACGATCTGAAGTAGGTGATTGTACGTACCTTCACAAGAAGAACCGAGCAAACCAGTGAACGATGTTGTTGCTCCAATTTTTTACGCGACCTGCAAAGAAGTGAGGATTTTCATTAGGTAGCATCTAGTTATAATGGCTCTCTATCTAACCCCCTATATGGGTGGGTGTGTGTTTTAATTTAATGCGTCACCTTCTTTACTGTGAGGGTGTGCGTACGATGTGATAATTGAAGGAGATAGGACATAGAGTACGAAATATCATTCGCCTACCAAACAGTCCGGCGATTTTTCATTGAATTTGAAGATACTTTTATTTCGCGAAAAATGAGTAATTTGAAAAATACTTTTCGAAAAATAATCGCTTGTATCGTTTATAAAAATAAATTGATGAAAAAATTTTCCATCGCCCGTGAAAATAGTTAGGTATGGATTGTTATCGATACTAATTTTTCGAAACGATATGAGCAATCATTTTTCAAAAAATATTCTCCAAATTACTCATTTTTCGCGAAACAAACGCGCACCCTGAGTATTTATACATGCTCATAATCATCTTTCTTCATGTAGCCTATGGTAGGAATAGGCGTTCTACTCAAATTATAATGTGATGGTATATTCCAACTTTAGTGCATGCAAGCTTGAATAGCATATTCATAGAGAAAATATAACTGAGGAGAAATATTTTGGAGATGTTGTGGCAGCGAATCTTTGCCCTTTGACACGTGGACCATGGAGAAAATAATTTGTTGAAGTGAACGGTAGATGGGAATAGTGAAATGGAAGTTTGGCGTTTGGTAGTAGGTATATATTTAAATAAATATTGGGTTAATTCCAAAAAAAAGCACCAACTTTATGTCGAGGGACAATTTTGGCCCAAACTTTTTTTTGTCCCATAAAAAAGCACCAACTTTAGGTCGAGGGACAATTCTGGCCCAAACTTTTTTTTGTCTCGTAAAAAAACACCAACTTTCATTTAAATCCCAAATTTGGCCCTCTATTGACTTTCTGTATGAAGTTACCCTTGTTTGAGAAAAAAAGTTATGGTGGTGAGCCTAGCAAATCTCATCCATGGCGTCTGTCGACGGACAGTAGTCTACAGCTTCAAATTACGACAAAACGACGAAGTTTGGCCAGAAAGATTCAATCTGGAGATATTTTTTACTTGCCAGTGAAGTGAAGGAGACGAATAGTTTCACCGTTATTCTTCAAGCTGTGGTTCAGAGAATAAAACAATGAATAATGCTTTAAATCCAGTCAGCAAGTTACGTTGATTTATTGCTAAGGTGGAATCGTCAAGTTGGAAAATCAATGGTTTTAAGTCAATAAGGGCCAGATTTGGGATTTAAGTGAAAGTTGGTGCTTTTTTACTAGACAAAAAATAGTTCGGGCCAGAATTATCCCTCGATCTAAAGTTGATGCTTTTTACGGGACCAAAAAAAGTTCGGGCCATAATTGTCAATCGACCTAAAGTTGATGCTTTTTTATGGAACAAAAAAAAGTTCGGGTCAAAATTGTCCCTCGACTTAAAGTTTGTGCTTTTTTTTGGAATTAACCCTTTAAATATTATGAAACTATTTACCTTACCAAAAAAAAAATATTATGAAACGATTGATGTCTAGTCAACTCATTATCCAAAAACATTATACCTTTAAAGTGTCTTTAGTGTGGGTTTTAGACGTAGATTCCAGGAAAAACGATCAAAAAAAGTAGCAAACCTCTTGCACATACTCAAATTGCTGTATTTAGGTCTCCATATCTTTTAAGTAATTTTCGATAGTATATATCTTCAAGATAGCGTGTTTGGATTGTGGATGCGTATGGATTTCCCCAAAACTGCAAGACGGAGCTGGTTCCTTTTAGCGATTTCCACATCGCACTGGACAAATCACGTGGGAAACTCGGAAGCCATCCTAAGCAATTCCTAAAGTTCTAAGGCTACTGAGTATTATTAAGGGCGGTGAAAAGACACAAAATTTCCGCGTCAGGTCATTCAAACGAACGGTCCGTTCTGAAGTTTCGATGCGCTGGTTCAACCGTACACAATAACTAATGTATGTTTTCCGTTATTATTGTTTTCTCTTTTGATGAGTTACGCATCTTTTCTGTTGAGGCCCCTTATTTGCTGCTTATTTTCGGCGATTCTCCATTCTGAATTTGTTTTGCATCGTGCCTTCCAATATGAAACTTACCTCTTGCTCTGCCAAAACATGAGGTCCGTCGTCAACCATGGCTGAATTTGGAGATGTAAACATTGGTCCCGTTTGGTATTGGAAGGGTCCAGAAAATCTGCAGATTGGCCTAGTACAATTCTCATATACATGTAAGAAGGAACATTGGAATATTCCCAAAAGTGTGTCATCGAGATCGCATGCTTTGAGAAAAGAGCAAGAAGAACCATAAATTGTTCATTTGATTCTACCTAATTCAGATGGGATGCTGACCGCCTTTAGGGAACGTCATACATAAAACATGATAAGCAAAATTCATAGAAGACTAGCGAATAGTAATTACTTTTTGAGATAGGGAAAGCACAAAACGGAAAGATTGTGTTAGCTTCCAAAGAATTGACGATTGTTCAGATACCACAAAAAGAAAAGGCATCTTTCATCTAGACGATGTCAAGAACCGCATTCCTTTCTCAAGATGAAGTTGACAGCGTCCTCAATAGTATCCACAACCTGCATAGGTAAACATAAAAGAGTTCAACTAGGATGAGCAACTTTCGAATTCATTTTTCACCTTGGAAATTTTACAGAGAAGACAAACTCCCAGCAAAAGTGGCTTTCGATTATGCATGGTTTTGAAAGACCAACATTTTGCTAGGCTGAAGAGGGAAAGGGTTCGTTCGGTCATGTTTCACCCAACCAAAATTAGAAACTACAGATCACCCAGAGCATAGCAAATCAAGGTATATAAGTATTGGAGGATTATCCACGCTGACACCTCAAATTCTTAAGGCTATGTCTGGCTCATGGCCATGGAATCATGAAAAGGAATTCCAATCTAAGCAATCAAATTCCTAGGAGTGGGGTTCTTTCTTTCTTTATTGTTTGGTTTCAAGTTACCAATGAAGAGAGAAATGTCCAATGTGAGTTGCAAAATGAGGTTAAAACATGTAAGAAATGGAATCCATCTCCAATCAACATATACAAAGCGGATAGCGAAAAACTAGGGATAGAAACAGAATGAAGAACCACATAAGATCCCTCAACAATTTCCCGATTATTGTTCTCTAAATGATTTTACAGTCCACAACAAACCCATTATATACAACTCGTCAAAATCTCGCAAGTCAATCATTTCACACAAAATCCGCATCGATGAAGATGAAGCCATTCCCATGTACCTTCAAACTACTTCATAGCAGTTACCTCAAGCCATCGTGATATTCTCATCCTCATCGTGTTTTGAGTCAAAGACCCAATCACAATAACAAATGGAGTGACAGCAACTCAGCCGAGTTTGTAAATGGAACTTTGTGTCCCCACCCAAGCCTACGTGATGCTCGTAGCTGACATCTTCATAAAGAATCCAAACAGGTTTCACAATGGCGAGAGAGAGAAATGATTTCACCTAGTAGAGGAATGTGAGGGCTATGGAATCAAGATGCAGGCGAAACTCACATGGGAAGGATTTGAAGATGATGAATGGAGAGAGAGAGAGAGAGAAAGAAAGAGAGAGAGTTCTGGTTTGTAGGATTTGAAGATGATGAAGCTCAGATAAATAAGTGGGTTGGGTTAACGAATGTTTTTCTTTTCTAGGAATCCCAGTACCACCTCTACTTTAGCAATCCAATTCTGAAATTTTAGAAGAATCCGTTACCTAGGCGCTTTGATTCTGCGATCATAAATCCATCCAAAGATGAGTTGCAATGAGATTCCATTTTCTGTTGTTTTTTACTCCAAGGTGAACCAAACAAGGCCTAAGTGATTACACAATGTACTTACTTCTTAATGTTTTCCCGGTGGAATCAAAGATCTGCAGTCTCAACAAGACTTTCTGCTAGGATCACAGGTATAAAATCTCTAAACCAAAGAAGTGAACATGCTGGAATGCACACAATCCGCTCACTTAGAAACCTACCATCAACTCACCCCAACATACATATAAGGAGAGATAAGAGGGAGAGATAGAGAGATGTGTGAATTTTGTTAAAAGTACAAATACCTACCAAGTCCGCAGGGAACTCTGAATGATTATCTTTTCCCTTGAATACCCCAGTCCTTGTTAGTATAGAAAACCAAGGATCTCCTGCCTGAAGGAGTTGTTAGCAGTATTGGTGATTATGTTCGGAAATAAAATTACTGATATGATAAAATACGTTTCTCGTTATAAAATATACCTCTCGTGCGCCTCTAATGTCGATTTTTGGATTATCTCCTATCATGTACAGGGTTTTCAAATAACGAATTCCAGAGTTTGTAGTATTCTCCACGTCTAGGTTGCTTAAATAAGATGGCATAAGAGTCCTTAACACGGTCCCAGCATTTCCATAGACAAATGGATTTGGCTTCCCATATGATGTAAAAGCCAGCGGAATGGGATGTATTCTGCAGAACAGAGAGAAGTAAACAATGTGCAACATAAGATTGAAGATCAATGCATGTTGCTATCCTGCATTGAGTCAAATTAGGCCTACACAAGGATCTATAGGCCATTCTTTAATGTTTTGTCGAGAATATTTAGATCAAATTCCATGCAGAACTAAACATTGAGAAGCTGAAACCTCACTATCTTACCTATTATAGATTGCTTCTAATGCAATCCTGAAAGCTCCCATACCCAGACGTTCAGCAGGAAAAGTAGCCTGCCTTTACACTTTGTCAGCTAGTCATCAGCCAGTCTTTAGTTCCACTAAGGCTTCAAAAACTCAAGATTGCAGCTGGCATCACAAACGGCATAGCTTACCTGGTATTCTAGGTCATCATTTGCAAAAAACAGGTGCGGTTGCTTTCCAGTCCCCCTTCCAGGAAGCCCTCCAGTTCTCAACAAGTCACAGAGCACCTAAACCCAAACTTAATTATCACAGAATTATTTAAATGTACACAGACAGACAGATAGATGATAACACTCCATTTTATCACTTCTTTCAAACTATATTTCAGCACCCACTAGACTTCTAAAAAGATGATGACTAAAGTAGCAGAGTAGTTACTGAACGAACAAACAAAGCCTAGTGCCTTTTGATAATCAGTTCAAAGATT